ACGTTATTTTGTAAGAGCTAATATTGAACATATCATTAATTAAATTAACGTAACTTTGTATATATTAAAAAATTTAATTATAACACGGAACCGAACCCGAACGGTTCCATAATTAAATTTGGACCCGACGGTTCCATTTACTAAATATTCGAAAATTTCGGGCCAGTTCGATTCTCGTTAGAACCAAGCCGAACCAAAGCGAACCATGTCTAGCCCTAAATACATGTATATATTTTTTTTTATCACTTACTGCGCACGTGATATTGCTATGTGTGCAGCCCCCACATAAGGTAAACTTCTGTGCTCTCACTTCTCATCAGTTGCCACGTGCAAAAGTTTGAAAAATCTGAGTAGTTGCATTCAAGATCAATGTGACAGATTTCTCCTTTAACTGCAATAATTGATCCTCGTAGATGACAAGTTAATTGACTCCCAACTTGTGCCTAGTGTAGTAGCCGGTTGCTCATTAGTTGGCCCTCGATTTAATATTTGGATCGATCATTTTATTATAGTTATACAAGCCGTTTTCAACTATAAAATCATTTAAATCTTTGCTAAATTGTTAAGTGACCTTTATCTTCATGAAAACAATTTCACTTGAATTTTCAGGCAAGTTCGAGTTGGATAATGAAAAATTGAGAAACTTTGGCAAAGATGCGATCAAGACAAGTTCAGGCATTGTGGCTTATGGCAGCGGAGGGAATGAGAGGAATAACAGCCTCGATAAGCAAGGCCGGGATAGGATAGAATATCAATTGATCTTGACGCATGCAAAGAGAGTAAGCTGGATTAGAGTACTGAACACCTTTAACCTTGATTTTATTTGATGTATGGGGAATGGTTCCTCCACTACCCGATGAGACTAAGTCCATAGAACAAGGACACAAACCAAATCTCACAGAGAAATAGTGGGTGGTTGTGAGACAAACGGAAAGTTGAGAGTGGCAATATTATGAATAAAGGATCTCCAAAGTTTGAGAGATAATGGCGGTGCTGATGCCTGGTGGCGGCATCATTAGCAATGAAAAGGAATCACAAGGAAAACACTGGTGATAGTTTGAACTGCTCTGATACTATGTANGCAAAAAAAAAAAAAAAAAAAAATAGAAATGCCGTAATGGACAAAATACTATTTACCTAATTAATTCACTACACAACTATACACATGGAGAGAAAAAAATGTTGATTAATTTGGGGAAAGAAATCTATGCTAATGTATAGCATTAGAGCATCTCCAAGGAATTTTCTATTTTTAAAGACTATATTCTATCATTTGAAGAGCATCTATAAATTTAAAGAATTTTAAATTACTCCAACAAACTTTTTTATATTTAACATTTAATTTTACTCCTCTCAAAAAATATTTTTTATTTTTCTCAATCTTTTTTTAACTAACTTTTATCTAGATTATTTTATTATATTTTTACATTAAAAATTGAAATACTTTAAATTTATTTAATTATAGAAAGTGAAATTTGAAGAGTTAAATTAACTCCCTAAATTAAAATGTTAAATTAAAAGATCTTTTACAGCAGCATAATTGGAAGGTTGATATTTTTAAAATAAAGAACATTTCATGTTTGAAGAGAAATAATCTGTCTTGGTCTTATGGCTGTGAGGTCTCTTACTCAAATAGGGCTGGGGATAGAACTTAAACAAGGACATTGGTGTATGGCCGTAGTGAAATATTCCAACTCAGAGTAGGATAAAACAGTAATTTCATTCAAGTCCCCCAAATGTTTAGAGTAGCTATCTCTGAGCAAAGCCGCCTCATAGGTCAGCAGTTCTGAGTTCTTTATCTCTGCTATAACCTAGAAAGAGAAACCCAGTCTTTCTCTCTCTACATCTCTATGTTAGAGATAAGAAAGAGAGAGAATTATTGAGAGGTGATCCTTGTAAAAATGGTGAAACTCAGCGGCTATTAATGCTTCACTTGTAGGGTTTTGATTAGCATACAGTATCTCTCTGTTCCAAACTGTCACAAGGTGCTTTCTCTCTCTATCTTTCATTTTCTTTTCTCTCAATTTCTTGCAAATGCTACAAGAACCCTTAAACCCGACATGATCCTCAAACTCACACAAGGTTTAAACTCAAAAAGGAACTCGTTGCTTTGCCACAAAGCACCTCACACGGACAAACAGAAAGCTAAAGTCTTTTGCAGCTTTTTCACTCACCATAATTTCCCCCTTTAAAGCTGTGATTTTTCTCACTCATTCTCTTTATAAAGTTATTTTGATTTCAGATATTTGCAAAATGATTTTTACTTTTGTTTGTTTTTATGCTCACAGAGGCGTTCAAGGTGTCGTTTTTGTTTCTTTGATTCTGCTAGTGGGGCCAAAATAAGGTAGAAGCAATGGTGGACTATGAATGGGGGAATTCATCAACGATCATGCTCTCAGGCGAAGAACCGGCCCAAGATTCTAACCAAAACCGACAGATTTTTGACCCGTATGCCACTCATAACTTCACGGAAGCCAACACTTTTGTTAACCCTAATGATTTCGCCACCCCCACTCCTCACAACCACCATCACTACCATCACCAACAACCGTTTCACCACCCAAATACTAACACCCATTTGACTAATTTCTATGACCCACGCTCTTATGGCGCTTCTGGGTCATCGTACTCGAATCCTCATGCACCACAGGCTTCAATGCTCACTCTTGAACCAACCGGTCCAACTGGGTTTATGATGGTTCCCAAGAGTGAGCCGGTTGTTGGTGGTTTCGAATTTAACACCAGCACCAGTAGGATTGGGCTTAATTTAGGTGGGAGGACTTATTTTTCTTCCTCCGAGGACGATTTTGTGAACCGCCTATACCGCCGGTCCAGGTTAATTGAGCACGGCTCAGTCAACTCCCCAAGATGCCAAGCTGAAGGCTGCCACGCGGACCTGACCCACGCCAAACACTACCACCGCCGCCACAAGGTGTGTGAATTCCACTCCAAGGCCGCCACCGTCATCGCCGCCGGGTTGACTCAGCGATTCTGTCAACAATGCAGCAGGTTTTACATTCATCCCCGTATTTTCTTTTAATTGTAACCTAGTTTTAATGGTGAATATAGACCGAATAACTGCCCTTTTGGAGTGTTAACAAGCTCATGATTGGGTTGGATGGTACATGGGTTGATCCCAATGGCATTTGCATCCGTAGATTTATGATTTTGCTCCCAATTGCGTTTTAACGTACCGTTGGTTTTTCCTTCTTATAGTAAATGTACTGATTTAAAGGTACTGCTTTTCTTATCTACTCAACAATCTTTTTATGATTTTTTATAGCATCCTATACCAAAGTCTGTGTGATTTCCATTTAAATTTTTCTAAATAATTTTCTCGTAATCAGATTTCATCTCCTTTCGGAATTTGACAACGGGAAGAGGAGTTGCCGGAAAAGATTAGCTGACCATAACCGGCGGAGGCGAAAATCCCA